AGGGCGAGGGGAGAGAACATGGGGGGAAGTGAGGTGTCCAGCGGGACGGGACGACGCCGAGGAGAAGGAACGAGGCGTCGTGCTGGCCTGGGGGACACAGGCAGGCAGGGAGGAGGCATGGCGTGCTCGGGCGCGTGTGCGTTGTCCTTCCTCTGCCTACTGGCAGAGGTAGGTGATGACTGGCGCGGGCCAGGTGGGCCGGCCCAGTGAGGTAAGTGGCATGCAGCCTTCTCTCTCTGCTTTCTGTTTAACTTTCTGTTTTTCTTTCTGTGTTGTTTTTTTTTATTTAGTAAAAATACCAAATCACTTTACAAAAAGCTGAAAAAAGTTGTGGGCACTTCTGAAATTATTTCCAACAGCCCTCAAATATTTTCACAATTATTTGGACATTTAAAAATATTTATAGAATTTAAATGTCCAAATTCAAATACTTATGAATTAATTCAAAAATCAAGAGTGACCTAGAAAAATGTGCACCATTTGTGACAGAGGTTCTAGACCAATTCAAAAATGATGAACTTTTGTGAAGGGCATTTTGAATTAATTGAAATATTTTTCAGTTGATCCTGGTATTTTCCGTGGGGGCGGGGTGGTGCTGGGGTTTGTTGATCCCCATTTAAAGTTTAATGAAAATTTAAACATGATACATCACTCTAGCTAGTCCAAGTGCAAATGCTAACTAGGGTTGTGACAAAATCCTAACCACTCTACCCCAGTTCCTATTCAACTATCTCCGGCAGCAGATCCGACTCCGAAATCACCCGATCTGTCGACTCTGACCTCATCCCATGTGGGGACGAGGACGAGTTGGTCGTCCGGCTGACTCTGCGCCAGTCTCAGGAGGAAATCCCAGCTCCGCACTCAAAGTCGCTCCAGCGCGAATCAACTACGTCCGCGCAAATGACGCTTGGATCTCACACATAACTGAATCTACAGAATGGCTAAGGACAACCCAACAGTACCAGAGGCCGTGTAAAAAAAGACAATACAGTTGGAAGGGAGAGAGAGGTTTGGTGGAATAGTTAGTTGTATTGCTTGAGCCTCGTGGGCATATATATATATAGGAGTACATGATCTACTTGGAGTACAAGGCAAGCCAGAATATTTCCTAGTCTAACATATGTTTCCTAATACAATCACGTTACTCAACATCCCCCCGCAGTCACAATGGTAGCGACGCAGACAGTGAGACTGGAGAAGAATCCGAAGGCAAGCCGACGGACACCCCCCCATAGTCGTAACCGTCGAAGCATCGTGGAGTCGTGGCTGGAGTGAAAACCGACGAGGTTGCTCAAGCAGGCGGTAGCCCTTTGTGCTGTTTGTTGATTAAGCCGAGAGCGTGGGTGGTGGAGCCGTGGTTGAGGTAGTCCTGCGAAGAATGCGGTGGTTGATGTCGAGTCGGGGTAGCTGGTGTCAAGGAAGTCACCGTGGAGCCGCGAGCGCAAAGAGGCGCCGAGTTAGTCGTGGGAGTAGTGGTGCCGAAGTAGTGGTGCGCCAGGAAGTAGATGATGTTGACGACGCGTCGCGCCGGGGTTGCAAACCACGGGGACACATCGTAGATGAAGGCACGCGTCAGTGTTGCCAGCACCGGACATGCGTAGACGGACGAAGACGAAGTTGACGAAGCGCCGCACCAGGCTTGCCAGGCCCGAGGACACGTCGTGGACGAAGGCATGCGGCGGTGTTGCCAGCACCGGACATGCGTAAACTGGGACCTGCACGAGCTGTACGCCATGTCGAAGAAGTCGGAGAGGTCAGCAGAGAAGGACTCGACAACGGTTGCGGCGCCAATCGGCGTGGGGCCAATGTCGCTCGCGGTTGTCAAAGTAGATGAAGCGGTCGGGGTAGATGACAGCGACGCTGGCGATGGGCTGGTGCTGGATGAAGACGAAGGGGGTGGACTGGCGGCCGCGGCGGTTACATGGGTAGCGGCGGCGGCGGCCAAAGAAGAGCGGCGGCGGCGACGGCTAGGTTAGGAGCACGGCGGCGGTGCTCGAAGTAGGCGAAGAACCCTGATAGCGTGACGAAGACCGGCGCGGACGGTGGCGTTCCCGCGCCAAGGGAGACCGTGCGGCGCATACCACGTGAGGTCAACGCGCGGAGACGGCGGAGTGGACCACGGGCCGCGGCGCGATGGCCCGAAGGGGCGACGCAGCGGCGGCAGGCGGGTCGGGGCGACGGCGGGAAGACCTCGGGGCGGCGGCGAGGACCGCGAGCCGCGACGTTGCGGCCCGAAGGGGCGACGCAACGGCGGTTTGCGAGTCGGTGCAACCGCGGGGACGGCCTCGGCGTGGCGGTGGGGACCACGATCGTGACACTACGGCCCGAAGGGGCGACACAGCGGCGACGCGCGAGTCGATGCAGCCGCGAGGAGAACCACGGGGCGACGGCGCTACGGCCCGACGGGGCGACGCAGCGGCAGCCCGATGCTCGATCGGTGGAGAGGTGCGCTGAACTTGTGGACGATCTTCACGGGACCCGCGGAGGCGCGCGTAACCGACGGGCCAGGTCGGTCGCGCGGCGTAGATGAGGCGAACCGCGACGGCGAGCGGGTGATCAAGCCGATCGCGCGTGAGGCCGGGGACGCTGCTCGGTGGAGGCGTGGTGGCGGCGGAGTCCGAGATGAAGCCGGCGACGACGGACGGCGTGAGACGTCGTGCGGACGAGCTTGTCAGCACCGGCACCCGGGCTGCCAAAGCAACGTCGGTACCCGGGCAGCGAGGCCCGAGCGACCAACAAAGCAGTGGCGCCCGAGTTGAGGCAGCCGACGAGCCTGACACAGCCGTCCCGACACAGCCGAGGACGAGGCGGCGAGGTAGACCGCCGGGCCGCCATGCAAACGTGGCGGAGGCGGGTGATGCGGATCGATGGGCGGGCCGACGCGCGAGCGACGACTATGATTGGTCGTCGCATGGCGCAAGGCCGCCGGTTCGGGGCGATGCAAGTGTCTGATCGGAGCAGGGCGGCGACGGCCGGCGCAGGGCGACGGGCGGACCGACGCGCGGACGGCAGCTGGCCCTGACGGGCTGCCTCGACGCGCTTGGCCGCCGGGTCGGAGGAGAGGCCGGCTGGTCGCGCCGGGGTCGAAGTAGAGGCGCTCGGTGTCGACAGCGGCGGTGGGCGACGCAAACCGATCAAGCATAGATCAGAAAACCAAAAAGAAAAACGCCGATCAAAACGACCAGCGAGAGAGCGAAAAAATCCGGAGCAAGGGCTCGGGAAAAAGACTCTCTAGGGCAGCCGGTCAACACGACCAGCGGACGAACCCTAGGTACGAGCGGTGGTCATGGAGGCCGACCGCCCCGGGGGCGGCGCGCAGGTGCGGAAGCGGCGGCGGCTAGGGTTTAGGATCGATTTGCGATAGATACCATGTTAAAAGGGAGAGAGAGGTTTGTTGGAATAGTTAATTGTATTGCTTGAGCCTCGTAGGCATATATATAGGAGTATATGATCTACTTTGAGTACAAGGCAAGCTAGAATATTTCCTAGTCTAACCTATATTTTCTAATACAATCACGTTACTCAACAAATACCAAACAAATACGACGGGCACGGTGATTGCCACACCCAGATCGTCAACGAGGCCGGGACCGGGTTATGTGTGTCAGTGGCGACCCCCTTCGCCGGCAAGGTACAAGGGTCGCCATCGCAGATGTATAGTACCAGGACATCATCATGGCTGTGTCGTCTTTCTCCGGGTAAAATGAAATGGAACAGACAAGCCCCGAGCAGAAATTCCTAGGAACGCTGTAAGCTAGGAAAAACACAGGAATTTTACAACTTTCTGAGGGAACCTTCACACGATATAGATTTCTGGAGAAAGAAAAGACAGAAGTTCCCAATATCTTGTTTCGGCGAGACTCTGGATCCACTGGACCTCTTTCTAGAATTCCTACCCACGAAATATGTGAACCTGCATTCCTATCATATATTCCTGCGTTTTTTTTCTACCTGTGTTTTCAGAATCCCGTGAACTAACCAGACCCAAATTGCAGCAGCAACACTGCCAGTCTGCACTACCACCACCGTACTTCCATTTCAGTTCCGGAGGAAGGCCCATTACTGCCGCAAACAGCAAGTAGCATGGTAGAACTACAGTACTACAGTACACTGTAAACGTCCTCATCTGTGATCCACAGCTTTTAAGTTCTGCTTGATGCTTGTTAAATTGTGGTTGGGGTTCCCTTCAGTTAGAAGTGTCCTGAAGTTGACTTGTGTTGATTTACTAAAGCCATTGAGGGCGCTTGAAAGCTATGCAGAATGACAACAGCCCAGCAAAGGAAGAAGATTTAATCATGCAATAAAAGTTGTTATCTGGTTGACAATGCTGCCTTCCAGAAACAAATGTTTCGGAAAGCCTGAAAATATGATTGGATCCTAGATGGGGACTGCATGACCTTTGCACAGCTTCTGAGCTCATAATGCCCAATCTGAAAATAAAATATAAAACTCTAATTCTTCTACAACAAAAGCATCATACAAATTCTGTTATAAAGAGCAACACATCTTCAAACTTAAATTAGTTGAGACGGGTAAAATACAGGCACATGTATTTTCTCCAGTGGTCCGACAACCAAACGATGAAGGTTTCTGAGGCACACTGCAAATAATTTTACAGTATTGGCCAAAATACCAAAGGACAAACTAAACAAAATGATGACACTATGACAGTACAGAACACTGCAAATAAATTTACAGTTTTGTCCACACTACCAAGGGACAAACAAAACAAAATGATGACAACATAGCAACAGGCCGATAAGACGAGAACCACTGAAACAACAAATGAAGTAAGACAATAAGATCCGTCACCAGATAGAAGGAGACGTCAGATTGGCACAAACGAGTAAGAATGCACATTCTAATGTATAGGGTTACCTAAAACGAGCCATGTGAGTCCTCAAGCAAAGTTTGTGGTACAGTACAAAAGACGATTTCAGGGGAAAAGGGTATTGGATTGAAAATTGTTAGCTGTTACATCTCATGAATTGTCAAATATTTCATGAAATTCCAGAATGTGGCATAAAATAACTCTTGTCTACTAGTCTCAGAACTATTCCATCAAAGTAAGCTGGAAGGAGAAATGACAGCAACACACAACCTGTAGATATTGGTTCACGGGGAGGAAATATCATGAACTCTCCATTCTTCTTGCTCAAAATTCCAATCACACTCAACCTCATTCCTTCCGTGATATATCTACAAGTTTGTGCAATCATGTAAGTTTCCGATGGCTCGATATACAAAGATACAAACAAAAGGTGTGGATATTCAGGACAAATTTGATTACCCTTCCTCAAGACGGATAAGCTGAGCTTCTTCAGAAGAAAGATTTCTTTCTTGTAGCCAACATTTCAAGGTTGAAGATAGATCGGTACTTCTGCTTGTTGTAACCAGAACATTTTCATCGATCAATGGAACAACTTTCGTGTGGTACCCAGCTTTCACCAAGGCTCTTTTACCTGATTTTGCATCTGTTATGTAGAAATCAGCAGCAAACCTCTGCCGAACTCCACAGAATGTTCAAATGAGAAAAGTAGCATATGTCTGTAGTATCTCACTAGGTACTACAAATCTACAATAACGGCAGAAGCACTATAAAGTTACAAAACTGGAAGGCTAGTGTATAAAATTTGAAATTGGATTCAAAAGACGGTAGAATTTACTTCCAAGGAATCAAAATTCTTCAGAAACGAAATATCAATTTGTTACATCTACCCTTTCAATACGAATTAGATAAACATATTGAACTATGCAGCCAAAATCTCTTCAAATTTGCACATAACTGAGAACAGGCATTAGGATTTCAATTTAATATTTCAAGTGAACAAAAAGGAAAATGTTGACCCTTGGTGCATTTTGTTGCTTACCATAATTATTCTGGAAAAGGAGCAAAAATGATAGGGAATACCCTTGGTGCATAAACTGATAGTATGTTTGTAACACAGTTGCGATGCGTAGACTAGCTTAAGGCATGATAAGCAGAATACATAGTCATTACAGAAAAGAAGCAAAATAACGATGAGATAGGTGCAAGATGAATAAAGTGTGTGTCTCATACATGCAAGGACAAATAAATCTATGCAAATTAGATGTAGATAACCGCAGAGCATTCTTACCTCAGCATGTGTCAATTTCCACCTGGAACAATTATTTTTAGGATTTGCCACCTCAGAACCCCATCTAACACATTTTCTTAGCAGCGTAGAGGTGTATACACAGTTCTCCACCTTCTCATATGAAGAAATCAACGAAATATCACCACATGAAACAGGCTGCATAAAAGAAGGAACATTACAACATATATGAGATTAGCACACCATTCTACTCACATGGTAAATACACAAGGAAAACAATGCTTGTACCACAACAATGAACCAAAAGGAACGATCATTAGTCTTTACATAGAAGTTACTTCTGTAAGCTTGGCAAATAAAGTAGGCAGCTCTTTTCCCCTTGCAAGATTATAGTAATATCCAGCCAGCGAAGCTTCTATTCACAGCAATCTAATCTGAGAGAACTAACTTTCAAGATAAGGTCAACGAGCATACACCCATCCAAAAGATTGATGCACCTATACTACACGGCACATGAGTGGGATTGCCACAAGATGCGGAAAGGCTACACGTCGCACGCATTATACTCCACATATCTTATCTTAGAAATCGATACATTTAGTATACTCCATACAAAATGCTACTGAATTTACTGCCTCGCTAAATGGCGGCTCAATTTCGGCAGGCACGAGACTTCAGAACGGAGCACTTGTTGGACTTGTTAAATCAATTCCATTGCAATTGCGATTGAGAACGGGTAAAATGCATAAGCAACCGTAAAACGTACGCCGGTAATCTTGACGAGCTGGCCGTCGGCGGCGACGCGGAGGCTGGAGGCCGGGAGCCCGTCGACGAACCGCCGCAGCACGCGGCCGGAAGCCGCGGCCGCGGCATTCCACAGGAGGAACGCGAACACGGCCGCCGAGAGGACCAGCGCGAGCACGAGCAGCACGGGGCTGCGCACGACGGCGAGGACGAGGACGCCGAGCCCGATCCCCACCGCGAGCAGCGCCGCGACCGCCCAGGCCGCCGCCCTCGGGAACGGCGCGGGCACGGGACGCCCCGCGTCCCCGGCTGTGGCGCAGAGGTCGTTCAGGGCGGCCGCGTTCGCGCCGGCCTCGGCGTCGGCGTCGCTGTCGGCGGTGGCGCCGCGCCGCTTGCCGTCTTCCCCTCCCGGAAGCATATCTGTCAGCCCCTCGGCTCCGTTGGCTGCGTACTCCTCCTGTGGTCACTGTTTTGCTCCCTGCCTTTTGACCTTTCCGTCCTCTGCTCTTTCCCCGGTGGTGGGCTTGCCCCTGGTTCTGGCGTGCGGTTTAAGGAAAAGAGGAACCAGCGCGGCGCGCATCTTTAGGATGACAGGTGGGGACACGCACACCTCAGTCCCACCTACTCTACCAGTCATCGGTACATGCGGTACATTTGAGATAGGCCATGGGGCGATGATAAAGGACTAGAAGATGACATGTGGGCCCAAATATTGCTCGACCGCTATGTCAGCGAAGGGTGTAGTGCGGTGCAGTGTGGCTACAGAACTGAGACCACGCTATCAGACTTGGCGTGCTCACTAGTCACATGAGCGTGCTCACTGGACTGAGTGACTGAGAGTGAAGCAGTTGGCACCGTACGCTGCCACAATGCCATCATACAGGCATATCAGCTCTCTGACGCGTGGGCCAAGAAGCAGGAGCCTTTGCTCACGTATATACTCCTATCTTCTATGCCTACTTATCCAGTACGCCCTCCGTTCGGAATTACTTGTCTCAGAAATAAATGTATCTAAAACTAAAATACATCTAGATACATCCATTACTACGATAAGTAATTCCGAACGAAGGAAGTATATAGTGGTGTAATTACCAGTGGTTGATGACGTGGGGGGGCTAAGCAGAAGAATATAGGAACTGTCAAGCTTTTAAGCAACTTTTCGTGGGCTCATTATTTAACTCTGTCCAACTCCGATCGATGGGCTGTTGTAGTCACAGGTCTGTTCTTTCTGATTCTTTGGAGTTTTGAATTGAATTCACACTTGTCCCTAGGTCACACTTGTCCCAGACTGTCTAAAAATTGCTAAGTTAGTGTGCAGAGCCTACGAGCTAGGCGCTGCACTGTATAGTATGGCGCCTAGCTCTCAGGCGCTGCACTAGTGGTTGCACTACAAAATGAAGCAATCACTAGTGCAACGCCTAGAAGCTAGGCGCTACATTGTATAGTGTGGCGCCTAGCTCTCAGGCGCTGCACACTGACTTAGTAATTTTTGGATCGCACGGATGCGACGCTGGCCAGACGTGTAGCGCCTGTCTGCGAGGCGTTGCATAGTGTAGTGTGGCGCCTTCGTGTCGGACGTCACAGAAAAAGGTCAGCCGTGTGAAATAGTTTCACGAGCAGTTCATTCTGTGATTTGATTTCGTTCATAGGTTAAATTTGTCAATTTTACCTGCTACGGTGGTGCATATTCTGAATCTCTGATCCATTCTACGAGTACACTATACGCCGTACCAGCGGTCAAGTAGAGTAGTAGTACTCCTGTACTCTCACAGACAGCGCTTTACTGTTTCAAGCTTTGATGACAACATACGATATGCTTTTTTATTATAATGGACGGAATCACGCGGGCCTGGGAAAGACTTGGAAAGTGAGTTGTACCAGATTTATTACCCCTTCTATTTTAATTATATAATTTAACTATAAATATAAATTATACTCCCTCCGTTCAAAAATACTTGTTATAGAAATTGATGTATCTAGACATATTTTAGTTATAGATACATCAATTTTCATCCATTTCTGTGACAAGTAATTGCGGACGGGGGAGTATATCACAAAAACTATATGGAGTATATGGAATGCCTCCTTGAATACAAATCCACTGTCATACTTTCTGTAACATATATCCCATATTTTGTTAGCTATGTCATGGTCAAATGGTGGCCTAAAATATAAATGAGCTCAATAAATTCGAACGAAGGGAATAGTACACTTTTCTACTCCCTCCGTTCCTTAATATTTGTCTTTCTAAAGATTTCAAATGGATTACCACATATGAATGTATATAGACATATTTTAGAGTGTAGATTAACTCATTTTGCTCCGTATATAGTCACTTGTTGAAATGTCTAAAAAGACAAATATTTAGGAACAGAGAAAGTAATACGTAGAAATTTGTTAAGGTTTAGGACGTGCAAGGACGGAGCCAGGAAAACTGTAGGAGGGGTTCAGTTGTCGTTGCACCGATGTTGAGGAGGTCCAGAACCATTAAAATGCAATTTATTGTTCCCAATTTAAGTTCGATTGAGTTAGCCTCCTGTTTGGGTTACAGTCACACTTGTGACGAGATCTCTTTCATATAAACTGGACTCTACATGTCATTGCCTTGGAAAAGTGTGACAAATTATCTCGGGTGTGGCAAAGTGTGAAACTAATTTTGGTCGTCTCACCTTAGACATGTGTGACAAATACTTATGGCAGATGCTGACAAATTGCGTTATGAACTAAACATGCCCTTGCATTGCAACCATGCAGCCAGCATGGCCAGTTGCCGCGAAAACCTAGGGGTGGTCTATTTCTAAAATCCAAAATTTCTATATTAAGTTCTTTTAGATGAGCCTGGATTGGTGGAAAGAAGAGATGTGGTTTGTTACCTGAAATCCAATTTTGTTTGCATTAATTTTCCTGTGAATGGGTTATTGCCTTAAGTAGAAGGAAGCAACATTTCGTCTACATACTCTGTCGATTCGGGTAGGTTATCAGATGTTTTTTTGTCTCTTTTAGATTTCACTTTATTTACAAGAAAAATAAAATGTAAAGTGGTGCGGTAGGCATTCATAACGATGTATTGTAAAAAAAAACTAAGAATATTAATTTGTGTCGTGAAGGTTAAAACCAGATGGTGGGATTGTACATCAAGAGTCTGAATCATTTTTTTAAAACCCTTCCTTTTATTTTAATATTATTTTTTCATTTTTGTTTATTCCTATTCATTTCTCATCTTCATACATAATTCATTTATTTATTTGTATTATATATTTCATTTCTTTCCATCTTTTATTTTGACCATATTTCATTATCCCCGCTTCTATTTATTGCCTGTTGACCATTTATATGAAATGTGTATGTGTATTTAATTCAATGAATTTATGTGTGTTTTTATATACATGAGTTTTATATAATGGCCTATTTCTTATCTTTGTTCGCATTGAATATGTTTAGTACTTTATTTTTATAAGAGGGATATTTTTAGTAAGTTATGAACATTTGTTTTGCACACATTTTTATTTTATGTTGAGAAACACTTGTAATTTTATTCATACTTGTAGCTATTACATGTATTATATATTGGATTTAAGACCGAATAAAATACAAAGTAACTCATTTCACTAAGAGTTATTTCGATATCTCGAAAATATCTTCCCTGTGGTATCCATCTTTGTGAGACGAAATACTCCCAAGACTTCAGTAGAGATGTTGCAGTTAGATCGGAGCAATGATACTATCGCTCTTTCGCGTGCATGAACTTGACTGCCAATAAATGTTTCCGAAAGTCTCTTGAGTTGCCCATCCAAAAAGACACGAAACCTTGAACGATGAACATACTTGGGCCTAGGATGATCCCTTATAAGTACGGCTCATCGAATCACAAGATCTTCACCATGTTGTCGAGAAAGGATTCAATTCCACATATAAGCAAACCAACAAAAACAACTTGACACAATAACATAAACTCATAATATCTTAATTATCAGATCAGCGAGAACACAAACCTGATGACCCACAAGTATAGGGATCTATAATAGTCCTTTCGATAAGTAAGAATGTCGAACCCAACGAGGAGCAGAAGGAAATGACAAGCGATTTTCAGCAAGGTATTATCTGCAAGCACTGAAATTATCGATAACAGATAGTTGTGTGATAAGATGATTCATAACGGGTAACAAGTAACAAAAGTAAACAAGGTGCAGCAAGGTGACCCAATCCTTTTCGTAGCAAAGGACAAGCCTGGACGAACTCTTATATAAAGCAAAGCGCTCCCGAGGACACATGTGAATTATTGTCAAGTTAGTTTTCATCATGCTCATATGATTCGCGTTCGTTACTTTGATAATTTGATATGTGGGTGGACCGGTGCTTGGGTGCTGCCTTCCTTGGACAAGCCTCCCACTTATGATTAACCCCTCTCGCAAGCATCCGCAACTACGAAAGAAGAATTAAGATAAATCTAACCATAGCATGAAACATATGGATCCAAATCAGCCCCTTACGAAGCAACTCATAAACTAGGGTTTAACCTTTTGTCACTCTAGCAACCCATCATCTACTTATTACTTCCCAATGCCTTCCCCTAGGCCCAAATCATGGTGAAGTGTCATGTAGTCGACATTCACATAACACCACTAGAGGAAAGACAACATACATCTCATCAAAATATCGAACGAATACCAAATTCACATGATTACTTATAACAAGACTTCTCTTATGTCCTCAGGAACAAACGTAACTACTCACAAAGCATATTCATGTTCATAATCAGAGGAGTATTAATTATCATTAAGGATCTGAACATATGATCTTCCATCGAATAAACCAACTAGCATCAACTACAAGGAGTAATCAACACTACTAGCAACCCACAAGTACCAATCTGAGGTTTTGAGACAAACATCGGATACAAGATATGAAATAGGGTAGATGGTGCTGGTGAAGATGTTGATGGAGATTGACCCCTCTTGATGAGAGGATCATTGGTGATGACGATGGCTTCGATTCCCCCCTCCCGAAGGGAAGTTTCCCCGGCAGAACAGCTCCACTGGAGCCCTAGATTGGTTCTGCCCAGGTTCCGCCTCGAGAAGGCGGCGCTTCGTCCCGAAAGCTTCCTTTTGATTTTTTTCCAGGTCAAAACACACCATATAGCAGAAGATGGGCATCGGGGGCCTATCAGGTGGACCACAAGGCAGGGGGCGCGCCTACCCCACCCTCGTGGATGGCTGGTGGCCCCTCTCTGGTGCTTTCTTCGCCCAATATTTTTTATTAATTCCAAAATGACTCTCCGTGAAGTTTCACGACTTTTGGAGTTGTGCAGAATAGGTCTCTAACATTTGCTCCTTGTCCAGTCCAGAATTCCAGCTGTCGCATTCTCCCTCTTCATGTAAACCTTGTACAATAAGAGAGAAAAGGCATAAGTATTGTGCT